CTGCTGAAAAGCAGGAGTGCAGATTTCCAATTAAGCAGCTTAGTAGGGGGGATGGTTATTTCGAAATACTGGGCTTGGTAGTGTGGACACTCCGCTTATCAATTTGACCTAAGGGGGGGTTATTTCGAAATAAAGCCCTCGTGTGGACCAGAGCTCAGTGAGGTCACGCTGGAAGAACTCCACTCGGATCCGTGAGGTTAGTTGGAATTTGCAGGCAGTCCCCGGGTTACGTACAAGATAGGGACTGTAGGTTTGTTCTTAAGTTGAATTTGTATGTAAGTCGGAACTGGTACATATTGTAGGGGAAACTCTAGCCAAACTTTTCTCCAGAGCTCAGTTTTATTCTCCCACACCTCACTTCCCTCACTCCTTTATTCTCAAGCTGAGGTGTCTGCTGAGAAAAGCCGCTCCGCGTCTCCCTGGTCTGCTGGGAGGGCGCTAGCTTCGCGTCTCCCTGGTCTGCTGGGGGGAAGCAGCTAGTGCGGGGTTGCCTTACCCCGTTTGTAAGTAGGGATCCGATGTAAGTTGGATCCATGTAACCTGGGGACTGCCTGTATACCAGTGACGCCTCAGCTGTCTTTGGCCTCTCCGTATTTCCGGGCTGCTGTGAAACGCCTGATTAAACGCCGGTCTCTTTACCTGAAGCTGGCAGACTCTCCTGACCCCCTCTGCGGATAAGGCCGCCATCCGTACCGGAGCCCGTTACTGGGGGGCGTGGCTTGTTTAATAGCATCACAAAGGTGGCAAAGTTCCGTGGGGAGCCCAGCCCGGCCTGGACTCCCTCCCCATAGAGTTGTGTCAAGTTTGATGTTCAGTGCCCCCATGGATGGAGCACAGACTAATAGATCGAGCTGCCAGGAAGCTTTCCCAGGTATCCGCCGCTGCCACTGAGGTCACAAGAAAAATGGATCGTGGGGGCAGGAATTGGCCCCTCTGTAACACCACCAGGTGGATTTGAACCTGGGATCTTTGAAGCAGAGTATAGGAGCCTCTACCCTCTGAGGGTATGTCTACACTAGAAAGTTAGTTCGAACTAACGGACGTTAGTTCGAACTAACTTTCCTATGCGCTACACTAGCGCTCCGCTAGTTCGAATTTGAATCGAACTAGCGGAGCGCTTAGTTCGAACTAGGAAAACCTCATTTTACGAGGACTAACGCCTAGTTCGAACTAGCTAGTTCGAACTAAGGGCTGTGTAGCCCTTTAGTTCGAACTAGTGGGAGGCTAGCCCTCCCCAGGTTTCCCTGGTGGCCACTCTGGCCAACACCAGGGAAACTCTATGCCCCCCTCCCGGCCCCGGACCCCTTAAAGGGGCACGGGCTGGCTACGGTGCCCGTGCCAGGTGCAAGCCTGCCAGCACCCAGCTAGCAGACCCTGCACCTGGCACGGCACAGAGCCACCCACCCGATG